TGTTATCCAATTGTTAACTTTGCATGAAGAATCAAAACATAAGTACTCTTTTTCACCTCCTAGAATAAGAGATAAGACAAATTTATTTACCATTCAACAAACTCGAGCGTGAGTGATAATACTCCACTATCCTTAAAAAAATAATTTTTCATGTTCTCTAGTAGGTTTGGATAAGTGAATTCCATTGTTCTCTTGAGGGGATAACTTATTTCAAGAATCAAAAATTCAAGCGGGATTTCAACGTCAGCAATTCCATTGATCATTTGTCTAAATTTTCCATCTTCGACTTTGATTATCCAATCAGAAAAAACTTTTGTGTCAATATCTGTGCAAGAGAGTATAGATTAATGCAATCTCATATTTTTGGTGAACGTATAAATTTTACAATACAACCACAAAGTGTGGTAAAACTGAAAGAATTTGGATAAAATCACCTTTGAGTACAATTGTTTTTCCTCTGAATGGTTAATTTATGAAGTTATTATTAGATATACTCATTACAACTTTCATTGTGCAATTCAACGTCTCAAAAGAAAATATATTCATCGTAGATGATAAATCCCGTATGATTATACTTGTTGGATTAGGTCTGCTTTCGGGCTCCCTTGTTTGATGGCATACAATGAGCACTCAGTTGACACCATAGGGATTAAAAATCTCGAGTCTCCTTCCCCTAGGAAAAATCGATGTTATAATGTAGTTGGATGTGACATTCAAGACAACATTACCGTTTGACCTCAGAAAAGCATATGATGATTTCTAGAGAAATATTTTTCTAGTTCCACCGTAACCATGCACAAAAAGGAACTCTCTCTTTCAGCTATCACGACTTCCATTATTTCATTAGATATATTCCACTGATATTTATTCATCATAGATAAATATCCTCTAAGATCAAATGACAACTTTTCATTGTCATATTTTAACTCATCTACCAAAAAATTATTTTGATATCTATTAAGTTGATTGTCATCACCAAATGGCATACTACTCAATTACTTTAAAGACCGTCCATTCCAAATAAGTAACTCTTCAATCTCAATTAGACATAAATTCTTTAGGTCTTCTCGGGAGATTATAAGCTCTGCAAAAAAAGATTTATTTTCATATAAGAGTTTTGTTTTCATATAATGCATTTCATATGGATTGAAGGGTTTAAAAACTTTCTTTATATTCAAGTAACTTGATTCCACAATATTCACATTCGGTCAAATAAATTTCATTCAACGGGAGTTCTTATTGTTTTTTTAAAACAATTTGTGGGTGACTCATGATACTTGGACGAACAACATTCTTAGCATATTCCCAAATCCTAACTTAGCAACCTCTTTAATACCTTCAATAAGTTATTTATCATCAGTTAATAACCTCAATGCTTCACATGCTTCAATGAATGCGTTATGTAGAACATTGTTAACTCTTCTCAAGCTCTTATAACTTATACATCCTCGATGGACAGTTAATACTATTCTCAAGTTGTATAACTTTCTGGTTTCTGGAAGCACATATTGTAGCCTGCCTATTGATGGTGGTTTCTGGAAGCACATATTGTAGCCTCCCTATATACGGTCTTTGTTGCATCGGACCATTTCCACACTTTGTGGTTGTACACAAAAAGATCTGGAAATTCTTTGCACACGTCAAATTTTATCTCGCATCATACTGTGTATTGAAAATCATCCAAGCTTCAAAAATTGAAGCTTTGTCATATTTTTTCGACAACATCTTTTAGATTTTGTTGATCTTTAAATGTTGCAAATTTTAGCCCTGGCAGATGGAAATTCAACATTGAGTGTGTTCACCATATTAATTTACGTAGTACATAATAATTTATATATATAGTTAGTTAATACACAAAGATAACTGTTTAATTACCATGCTCAAAGAAATTAAAAACATGTGTTATTGAAGATAGATCAATTCTCTTGTCTTTTATGCACTTAAAAGTACGATGAATTGTGTAATTATTCTCGGATTGGAGAATTGTATAGATTTTTTTGGGAAAAAATTACTGGAAAAATTAAATATTTAATTCAGAATAATAAAAATACCATTTGTCAAATCACAGAGCACATTCTTTCTCGAACGTGTTCAATGAGGCGAGGTTATAGCCAATGATGACCTCTCTTCTTCTGTATCTGTAAAAACTATCATAAAATAAATATTGTAAATATTTTTATCTAAAAATTTTAAACATAAAAAGGTTCTATTATCCACTAATATTTGTTACATTGTTGTTGACGGTCAGATGAATAAATAAGCAAGAATATTAGTTATTTATATTATTTTGACATAAATATCAAAATAAGCATGTTTTTTATTTTCAAGAATTTTAATTAATAGTAATTACACTTATAAAAATTAATATTATACCATAAATATTTTGATTAGGAACACCAATTAATAATTAATTTCTCGCACATAAATACTCACATACTAAGTCTTCAACATTTCAAAAATTATTAATGGAAAATAGTATTTTTGTGGCACACATCTTTAAATTTTTACAAAGTTCGTAATAGAAAATAAGAATTTAAAAATAGAATTTACTAATTTTAAAATGGAACATACTTTTTATTTAACTTAGTATTTTTAAATATATACTGAATAAAATTATTACTTTATTAAATAGACATGCCCATTAAAATCCATTTTCTTTTATATATCTATTTCTGTTTTTTCAAAGTTGGAAAATATCTCCAATTAGTATTAATTCAAAGTAAAAATAATTATTCATATGTAATTTCTTTTAGTTTTACCAATTTATCCGTTTTTAGAATAAATTTATTCTTTTGATTATGGTTTTTGAATATGAGTTCTTTTTTCAATTACAAAATGTATTATTTAATTTAAATATTTTCCAAAAAAGAATTAAGATATAAAAGTTTTAAATGCGATTATGTTGAGAAATTTGTGTGTAACAAATACAAAATTTAATTTTCATAGAATAAGTTTTTTTGTTAATTAATTCTTTAAATATAACTTGATGACATGGTGTGCTGACATGTCAAAAAATTGCCAATAAGCGCGCCACATGTCACAATTCTAGAGGCCTAACTCTCAAATTTTATATATAAAGATATAGAGTATAAATAGAGAAAGAATATATTATAAAAAATAGGAAACACATGACCAAGTTATAAATGAATAAAAATACTAACATATCAATATTTTCTGTAGTTTAATTTTACTTTAAAAAAAATAGAATAACTTACGGATAAATTCGATAGAATAAAAAAGAAATCACTCTAAATAGTAGTAAAACGTAGAAAAGGTATCAAAAAGAATTTCAATGTTTTTATTCTCTACATAAGAGTTCGCATTGTGGTAATGTGACATTCCACATGTCTATTTAATTATACCCTTTAGTGATGTACATGGTCATGATTGGTAACATAAATGCATTTAACTCATATTTCGAGAACAAAACTATGAAATTTCTATTTTAGTATGTTTTCAATATTTTACTTCTAATTTAATCTTTTTTTCCTAGAATAACTACATATACATGTATTGATTTTAATCACCCATCTCAATTCTTATTCGCATTTAATATCCGATAAAATTAAATAGATTTAGATATGATAATATCACATCTAATCAATTTAACACCGACTTATACCCTATCCAAGATTATGAACTTGTTTGGGAATAGCGTTAGAGATTAGCGTTTTAAAACGCTAACGCTATTTCTAAAGAAGCCCTATACTCCAATTTTAAATTTCAAAATGAGATCCAAATATGAACTTCTTTCTTTGGTCACGGATATTTTTAACCTCGGCGAATTCAACTAGAGTGGGCTCTAAAGTTGAAACGGCGATATAAGGCCCACAAAGTCATACCCATGTCTAATTGTTTATACTTCATTCGTCCCTAAATAGATTATAATTTTTTTTCTCTTTTTTTTCGATAACTTTTGTTTGTTTACGCGATTTCATTAAGTATTTGCTAAAATAAAATATTTTTGTCACCTCTTATTTTGTAGAACTTTTGACGTAGTTTTTTAATATGTAATTTTTATACCTTATTGATATACCAATTTCTAAATAAAATGATTTCAAAAGTAGGAAATTTCACTTCGTAATCCGCAGTTTGTAATCTATTTAGAACGGAGGGAGTACATAATACGCATAAGCTCGGTTCCTTTTTTACTGCGGTATACACAAAAAATTACTATAGGGTGATCACGTTTTGTTAAAATAATTAAAAAATTCGTAAGTCTTTACTTTTTGAAAAGACATTCGACGCCCTTATTTTTTGTTGTAAGGACTAAGAGGGTCATTTTGCCCACTATTCTGTTCATAACCCTAAATAGTTTATGCTAATAAAGCTCAGGGACATCACTTTTTAATTACAATTTTCTTTATTTTTCTTTTTCATATAGTCTTTTTCAATTCCTTGTGTAAGTGCTTTTCAAAAAATTGAAAATTGTTTGTCTAATATAAAAGAAATGTAATTAAAATGACAACAGTAAGAACAAAATAAAAAACTACATTTTTTTAACGGTCATTAATGAAATAGTGAACGAAATTAGGGGTAAAGATCGGTCCAGGAGCAGACTGAACCGGATCGAAACCGGAAAAACCGAAAACCCGGAATCCCCTAAAGCATAGGACTGGAAACCGGACCTATTAGATTCCGGTCCAGATCGGTTTTTTTCCGATCACTGGAAAACTCAAAATTTATTTTTTCTAATTTTATTTTTGTCAATTTTTTAAACTTCTTTTTTAACATTGTAGCTTGATTTGAATTGATTTTAACCATACGTTTAATTTTTATATCCATTGGTGTATTTCAAGAAATTATATTAATATAAAATAATTTTTATCAACAATATAATAGGTTTGAAATGATTTTTATACTTAAGTTAGTTTGTGGGATTTCAAAAATATTACGGAGTATAAAGTTGTATTTTAAAGTATTTTAGTTTATGCTTGTGTTAAAAATGATATTTTTTGTAATACAATTTGTATATATACCGTATTTAACACCAAAACTCCGTCAACTCGTCACTTACCCAAGAAATTCTCATTTCCTCTCTCTCTCACCCCCTCTCCATATAAATCTCTCTGTTTCTGTCAATTTCTCTCTTCCTCCGCCACAATATCTTTGAGTTCTTCATATATTTCTACCTCTTAAATCTCATTCTTCAGTTCAAAGGGTTGATGATGAAGGACGACTGGGTTGCAGCGGCGCTGGAAGACGACGCGGTGGTGGCGGAGATGCTCTTCCGGCTGAAGCAGTCCCACTCCTCCCAGACCTCAGATGCGTGTGCGCCGGCCAACAGGGAGTCTCTGTGCCTCCTCCTTCCGCCGCTGCACTGGGGGAGCCGTCAGCCGCGGTCCAAGTCGTCCGGTCACAAGTGGTCCCGATGCGGCGGTTCCGACGCCGCCGTGGCGCGTAGCCCTACCACGCCGCTTTCCTGGAGCGGAGGCTCTGCATCTCCCAGCGACGGCGGCGGATGCGATGAGTCCAGCCTACCGCCTTCCTCCTCCTCCGATCTGTCGTCTGCCTTCAGATCCAAGGTTTGCGTTCTCAAATCTCTCCTATTTCCCCATCTTATCTCTCTTCTCTTCGGAGATATTTCGACCGGAAATCCTTCCGGTCCTTCCCGTAGCTGACGAGACTAGATATCGCGATCAATTTCTCTCTCCACCGCCGTAATTGATTTCCCCGTCGTTGACGTCACCTTCCGGCGGCCCGATCTGCGCTTCTTTTTTTTTATTTTATTTAGCTCCGAGATTCGGTTACTCACGAAACAGTTCCCTTTCCGTTTCAACAAAAAAACTCCACAATTAAGTAAAATGACCAATTCGACCTCAATTCTCAACGTAATTTACCTCACAGAGAAACACCTCTCCATTTCCAGCTTTTGGTCCTTTGAATCGAACACAAAGCCGGTTTTCTAATACCGCTAGTGGTTTCGCGCGGATCCGCAACCGGCGGTTTCGCGGCGCTCGGCGGCCGTCACGGCCGCGATTTCAATTTCACCAGCTTTAACTTTTTTTTTCCGGACCGTGTCAGTTTCGGGCTGTCGTTGTTTGGTGCAGCATTATACGTGTGTTCTTATCGGGAAGATGAAAATGATTGCTAGGCGGGTGGGCCTTTTCCGGGTCGGGCCGGGTCACCGAGTCACATTCACACGACGACGGTTTCTTTTTTTTTCTTTTCCCCACTCGCATATCGCTTTTAATTAATAGATTTATGGATTCCGTTTACCTTTCAACAAATTACTGTAAATTTTTTTTTTTACAGTTTTTTAAAAAATTCACTGCGTATTTATTTCCCACTGTCCTATGAAAGTTTTTCGGATCAACATTTTTTGATTGGTTAATTCAAGGAAAATAAATGTCCTCTTTTTTGACTCAGAGTATTTGTTTATTTTTTATTTTACAATAAAAAAAGATAATTTTTGGCTATTATTTAATAAAATTAATATGAGATACTAATACAAAAATAATTTTGTTACAGTTATTCTATACTGAGTGAAATTTTTATTGATTGTTTTATCTAACTAATATACCATATAAATATTACTTCCTCCGTTCTCAAAAACACTTTCTCTTTTATTTTTTCCACTTCCAACAAAACACTTTCTTTTTCTATTAAAAAATAACTTTTACTCTTACTTTTTCATACCCTACATATCACATCATACTTTTTCTCTAATAATCTATCCATCACATCTTACTTTTACCTATCACATCAGGGGCAGAATTAGAAATGAACTACTCCCTCCGTCCTAAAACTTTCTTCCCGTTGCACAAAACGAAGAAAAATCTCATATTTTTTCAATCTATTTTATTTAAATATTGGTATAGAAATAAAAAATAAAACATACATATTTAAAAACTACATCAAAAGTTCAACAAAATAAGTAGTGACAAGAATATTTTATTTTATCATATAGGCCATGAAAAAACACAAATAAATATAAATTCTCGTGAGAGTGTTTTTCCAAACGGATGGAGTATTTAATTCAAGGGTGATTACGTGAGTGGCCTTAATTTAAATTGGGCTGGGTTGGGTTGGATCTAGGCCGGAAAGAAACCTGCTTTCCGGGCGCGTTTGGTTGGGGTAGTTTGTTTATCGGGTGTCGTTTTGATTCCTTGTGTCTGTGTGGGTCCGGTCTATCTTTATCACTTTTCTTCCCTCATCCTAGCTCATTTTGGCGTGGCTAGTGTGGGATAGAGTACTCTATTTGTACACCAAACATTTACTTACACACTCAATATCTAGGTAAATATGAACGTTGAATGTAACGACATTTTGGCGTACTCCTAGATTTATTCTTGCCAGTGTCTGGTTATAGTTCAATCAAACATTTACATTATTACCGTCCGGCTGGTTTTGAGAAAGTTGGGGATGGTTGTTGTCTTTCTTCTTTTTTTGTTATTTGCTAAGTGCAAACTTTTACCCTTTTATTTTCAAACACGTTTTTTCTAACTTTTTTTTCCTTTCATTTAATTTTTTTCTTGATTTAAAATGAAGCCAGATGCGTTTTACATCCCAATTTAAATTACCATTTCCCTTTTTAATCCTCGTTTCCTTTTTTTTCCATTATACTCGTAGCAACATATAAACAAATTATATCTATATAATTCGTATTTTTTACATTTGAAGAATATTTTGAAGTCAAACTGTTATAACACATATTCTATAGTCTACTCCGTATTGAATCTCAAGGAAAATTTGGTCAAATGACTCAAATGTGGGCGGAGCGTTGTGGGGTTGGGGGAATCTGCGCTATTTGAAGAAGTTGATTAGGGGGTTCCCAATTTAATTTTGAAATATTTGGACTAAATAGCGCTAAATTCTAAGTCATTTCTCTAAATAGCACTTAAACTATTTTATTCTCTAAATAGTACTTAATAATGTCTATAATATCTCGTGATAACAAACATTGATGGCTAATGAATAATGATTAAAAGTGCTATTTACCCACTTTAAATTATTTTTTTACATTTGTTTCTTAAAAATATCCTGCTATGTGGTGAAAAGTCAAGGAAAATGAGAATTTGCAAATCAACATAAAATGAATTTTCTTAGATTTCCGTTATTCTTTTTTATGCTTAAATGGAATAAAAGGGTTTTAGTAATCACACTGTTATTTCTACCCTTTTACCCCATTTTCATTATTTTGAGTAACCGTTGATTTTTACTCGCATATTGAGGAAATGACAATACCATATGTATTACTTCCTCCGTCCCCCTGTATTTGTCCACATTTGACTTTTGGAACTGTTCGTCTAAGCACTTTGACTCATTAAATTCTCTCAATGTGTAAGCCTAAATATAGTCACGTGTGATCTTGTTTGATTTGTCTTAACATATAAATTTTTAATATATAATTTTTTAATATACAAATTACAAGATAAAATGGATTAAAGAAGTGCATTGGATGGTGTGCAAAAATAAAAGTGGACAAATACAGGGGGACAAAGGGAGTAATTAATTATTGAGCCTATTTAAAAAAAAGAATTATAATTATTGAGATATTATGAAAGCATTTTCATACAATATAAAATTATATTCCATAATAATAATAATAATAATAATAATAATAATAATATTATTATTATTAAATTAAAGTGTAACTGGTAATGTGGTGTGGGTATGGGAGGTGGGCGGTGACTTGGGTTTGGATTTTGGGTGCGCGCTGGGTCCCAGTTTGGCCGAGTGCCGCGCTGCTTTTCCCACGTGTCTTTCGCTCATTGGTCCGTTACATTGACTCCCACTATTCTCTCTCTCTCTCTGCGTTGGTTGCGGGAGAAAAAAGTGTGGGAATATCTATTCATTCACTGCCGTAAATGGAGATTATTATTATTCACGCAAGAGGGAACCTTGTTGGGCTTTACTGTGGGCCCTTTTTGGGCCTTCATTCATCCACTGTGATGGGCCATGGCCCATATCTCCTGTCTATCATGCTTGCCTATTTTGTCCACTCCATAGTGGCGAAATATATCTACACTCCCTTTCATTTCCCTTCATCAGTTTTCCTTTAAATACACGGAATTGATGGAATTAGTATTGAATTGTAATTGAATTTCTCTTAAATTGAATTCTCCAATTTCAATTCATTTTTTGCACTATTAAGTATTAATTCTAAATTCACATATTTTTGTGCTACCAAACACCAAGATTAAAATTCAATTCCCCATTCTAATTCCATGACTTGAATTTCGTGTACCAAACGAAGCTTAAGTGTTTGAAATTTGTTCAGAACAAAGGGAAGAAATGTGAATTATATGTGCTTTCTTTAATTGTGAAATTAAAGAAGTGTGAAGACTATTTTGTGGGATATCCCAAAAAAGAAAAGTGTAGACATGAGTATAATTTAATTAATTGCGGAGTAATATATATATATATAAAGATGGCACTTTTCCTCAAGTGGTTTGAACCCAATGTTGTCTTTTTTTTTTTTTGCAGTGTGCTGTCACTGCTGAAATATTCAACATTAGCAGCTGTTCTAGCCAAGGATCTAAAAGGAAGAAGGTAAACTTTGTCCAAAAGGCCATTAAATTCGGAAACTATCAGTTTTTGTGCCTTGGGGATCTTTTCTTTTTCCTGCAAAATAGCTTGTAATTTTTTTTTTGCCTTAAACAATGAAATTGACTTGACTAGTTCTGTATATTCTAAGTTTGGTTCTTTTTGTTTGTTTGATGGTAGACATTTGATGTGCTTAAGGAGGAGGAGAACTCACTTTTGAAAGAGAGAGTGGACTTGGAAAGGGTATGCCTTGCAAATGTTACTATATTTCTTTTGTCACTATTCATCTTCTTCTTCACAAGTTGTCTGATTGGTTGTTTGGCTTGGTTTCTGAACAGGAACTGGCTTCTGCTCATGCCAACCTCGGTCGAGAGAGAGCCCATAGTGAAAACTTGAAGAGAATCAGAGTAAGTCACACCTTCAACTATGTTTCCCCTCCCCGCCCTTACATTTTGTGAGATTTTGTTCTTCGTAGAATAAAAACATATCGGGTTTTGCCCAATCTTGCCTCGTTTTTTCTTTCCTTGTAGCTTTCCTGCATGTACCTATGCTCCTCTGTGTGCGATTTTCTAGATTCAAAACGGACCCTTAATCCCGAAATGTTGTGTTTTGCAGGTCGATCCAAACCCTAGATCATCAGAAATCAACACGGATGGACGAAATCAAGAACAAGAAACAGTAGCCTCTTGTCAATACAAAAACAGAAACTTGATTGAATCAACAAAAACACATCATGTCCACCCCACACAGACAAAAACAACAATAGATGTCAAATGGGTTTCATCGGATTCAGTTACCGAAGTGTCTGTTTCGCAACAGAAAAAGAGAGGCTTCGTCCTGCCGGATCTCAACATGGAGCCATCATCCGAAGAAGAAGATGACTATGAGGAGATTAAGTGAGAGGTGAAACTGAACTTGCTCCTCTCATATATTCTGGAAGCAACTCTGATCTTTGATGGCGCGATCAACGGCCCAGAAGCTTCCCCTGCCCTGTAAATTACTACTACGTGCGTTCTCTTATCCTTTTCGGACCGAGACAAAGTCTGCGGCTCGCGGGCTCGGAAACTGCAGCTTCTTTTGATGCAGTGCGAGAAGATCTGTTGGGAATTTGTAGTGTAGAAAAGAACACAAGAACAGTTTCATGTGTAGATTTTTTCTTTCTTTCTTTTCTTTTTTATATAAATTTTGCAGGTTTCTGTGTTTTTATATTATTATTTAAGAATTGTATTTATTAATTTTATTCCTACCTTCGTCTCTCTGCCTTTCCACCTATATTGGAACACTTACACACACAAGAAACTGAAAAGCTTGAATCAGTTACAGAAGAGTGTATCTTTTCTTCTCAAACTCTGATCTTGAAGTACGTACCAGGCAAAAATAACCAGTGGCGGCGGCGGTTGAAGGTCACAGCGGCGGCGGCGCCCATATCGCCGGGGAAGGCGATGACGGTGGAGTGTCTAACTTGCGGTGGGGACAAAAGACCTTTGGGTCTGCATCGGATTTGGGCGGCTAAAAAGGGGGAAAGTTTCGTCGTTTTTGGACTGAGACGAAGGTAGGAAAATTTCTTGTAAATGAAATGATTTTTAAAAAAAATATGATATTTTGCACGTCCTTCGAAATGTTGCGAACAATTTGGCCTAGAGGAAGGACGGACTAGAATATATTTGAGTATAATGTCAAAAGGTCTACATTTAAAATGCAAACTTTCTCACATTTTTTAAGGCTTGCATGTAAAAATATTTTTTTTGCAAAGACATACTTCTTTTATATTGTAAATATACTAAGGTCTATAAAATGACAAGAATCTTAGGTCCACGGAAAAATTTGTCTCAGAGAATATATTACTTGAACCACATTAATTCTTGCTTTTTTACATAACTTGCAATCAAATAGGTTTACTTTTTCTTACTCCCTCCGTCTTAAACTGTTCTTTCCACTCAATTTTTACCCAGTCAAATTTTAATTACTTTCTTTACCTATTTTCATTAGATATTTGATAAAATAATATAGTCTTGTCACCACTTGTTTTGTAGAGCTTTTGATATAGTTTTTAAATATATAAATTTTATTTTTTAATTTTATATCTACAATCAAATAAATTGAATTGAAAATAAAGTCGGTCAAATCTCGTAAAATGAATCGAGAAGAACATTATAGGACGGAAGGAGTATTTTTATTGAAGTCAATCTAAAATTTTAAATTTGAAACATGATGGTGTAGGTTAGTGGCCTGAGCATAATTGTTCTTGTCTAGAATAACAAGTTAAATTTTTAAATAATTATCAAAAGTATATCAAAAGAAATACCGGAGTAACTCTTATGTTAGTAATACTCCGTAGTTGAGAAGGTAAAAGCATAAATAATGATTTGAGCATACAATAGAGGTCATGGAATCGTAATTTTAATCACTCCAATGAATATTTACAAAATTACAAGAATATTTACATAAGAAATAGCAAAAAATTGCTTTGGAGTATTCCCAATTTTGTGATAAGAATTATCAGGCATCTCGAATTTTTAAAATATATTTTTAAGTACTTTAAATTATGAGAAAACTTACCAAGTGAAGATTTTCCATCCATCTCCATCAAACCCATTTTCTCCGTCAATTTCATCATCATCATCATCATGAACAATATAATACGGAGTATTTGTTCATACTTTAATTCAATCTAACGATATACAAAGAGTCAGTGCTTTCGTTGGAACTCGAATCTGGATAAACTTTTTCAAGAATCTGAGAGAATGAACTCCCTACCACTCACGTGAAGGGAGAAATTCAATATCTATAATTAATTAAGAAATACTCACTTAGAGCACTGGTAATACATGCAACGCCCCCCGGCGTGATGGGGCGTTTAACGCCCCGGGGGCGTGAAACACCGCCCCCCTCCGGGCGTGATCGGGCGTGAGTTCACCAGCGTCAAAAGTTTGACGCGGCTTGGCTGCGTTTTTTAGCCGGCTCCCCCCTCCCAACGGCTATATAGCCGTTACCCCCCCCCCCCCCCCAATTAAAAAAAATTCTAAATTTAAAAAAAACTATAAAATCCCCCTATCTCATACATCTTTCTCACACCTCTCTCTCACAAATCTCTCTTTATTACTATATATTCTCTCAAAAATATTTATTATTTATTATAAATATTTATAAAATATAATTTAAAAATGGGTTCATCTTCCGACGATGAAAGAAGAGCTTTATTTTTTCGTTGTTTCGCGACGAATTGTATTCAATGGTGGGAAGATGGCCAAGAAGAAGCCGAATCCTCCCGACGACGGACCCGACGCCAACGTTTAAACCGGGATCGAGCGGCCGCCCACGATTGACTTCTAAACGACTACTTTAATAATCTGTGTGTTTATACACCGGAGGATTTTAGTAATTGTTTTCGGATGAGTCGTCCTCTCTTCTTACGCATACTCGCCGATGTTGAACGCGAGGTTCCTTGGTTCAACCAACGGTTTGATGCGAGCATATCTTTAGTCGTTCGAATAATTAATGATTTTTTTGTACTGTTGTTTTTTTATGTAATATTTTTATTGAATGTAATTTTTTCTGAATGTTTTTTTATGAATGTAAGATTTTTTTTATAATGAATTTAATTTTTTTATGCACTAGTGTAATTGCGATTAATTAAAAAAATAAATTAATTTAAATTTATTAATTTAAATTTAGAAGATGTATATTTAAAAATGTAAAAAATGAAGGTTTGAAGCCCAGTTTTGAAGCCCCGGGGCTTCAAACCCATTTCCAGTGAATTTTGGGTGTAAGTTAAAGCTGACGTGGCAAAGAAAGAAACTTTGAAGCCTCGGGACTTCATAACCATTACCAGTGCTCATAATAGTATAAACTTCACGCAACCTATTAGCTTATATTCATCATTAAAGTTATTCATCATTAAGGAATAAGAAGATTGTGCTTTTCTGTACTTATCCTTGACCCCAAAGGAAATGTCACCGTTTGAAAAATATGTAAAATATCATTTCTTTTAAAATGATTTTATTTATAAATGGGTATAAGAATAAAACATACAACTAATATATTGAAAAACTACATAAAATATTTTATAAAACAAGTGGTGACATAACTATTTAATTTTATCAAACGATCAATGAAAATACATACACAAACAAAATTTATCGAAAACTTGTAATAGTAAATGGGCCAATTTTTTAAGGATGGGGAGACTAAGAGTCACTGTTATATACTAGTATTTGCCTAGCACTTGAACAAATATATAAGAGATAATATGTGATGTGAAGGACCAAATAGAATCAATTTAGTCCTTGTACTGTTTATTTTTGTTCAATCAAGTCCTTGTCTTCATTTGTCTCTAATATATGGGTCTAATATATGGGGCTCATTCCCATGATATTGATTCTCAATGTCATGGGAACCAAGTGGCTAATATATTGCCCTAAATTTTTAACGATGACGTCAAATTTTATTATAGATGACATGAAATGATTGTATTGGCATGTTACTTCATACTCCCTCCGTCCCTCAGTTTTTGTCCACTTTTGACTTTTGAAATTGTTCATCTAAGCACTTTGACTCATCAAATTCTCTCAATGTGTAAGTCTAAATATAGTCATGTGTGATCTTGTTTGATTTATCTTAACATATAGATTATTAATATATACTCCGTAATTTCTATAATTTTTTAATATACAAATTACAAGAAAAAATGGATTAAAGAAGTGCATTGGATGATGTGTAAAAATGAAAGTGGACAAATACTGATGGAATACTTATTTTTTTAAAAAAACTCTTTTTTACTAAAAAAAAAGATGCATAGTACAATTAAAGTTTTCACTTTCCTTTTTTGAATGTTCAGAATTAAAGTTCTCATTTTCTTTTTTGGTAACTTTTTTTATCAAAAAGACTTAAATACCTTTCTTTATCATTTACTTTTCTTCACTCCTTTTTTTCTTTCTTTTTTTCCTTCTCTCTCTTTTCTGGTTCTTCTTCTTTCCTTCTCTGTCTCTTATCTTCTTCCACATTCTGATTTTTCGTTTCTTTTGTTTTTTCTTCTTCAGATTTTTTCTTCTTCTTTTCCCCCCTTATTTTCTTTTAATTTCTTCATCTTCTTCATTTCCTTCAGATTTTTCTTTTCTTCTTCTTCTTTCCCCATTTCGATGTTTCCTTTCTATTCTTCTTCTTCTTCCTCTTCTTCCCCCATCCGATTTGGCGTTTCTATTCTTCTTCTTCTACTTCTAGTGCGTCGGATCTGAAAAAATCGGATTCAGATCTGTGAATCGACGGAGGATTCTTCAGATCTTTTTCATCTTCATCTTCTTCATCTCCTTAAGAACTCTTCGATTCTTACACCTTGGTGCGGGAATAGAATGCTTAACTTGGATCGCCGGAATATCTCACTCGCCGGAAATTCGCAGTTGAGTCGCCGGAATTTCTTATGGGATGGGCTGCAGAACTTGTCCAGGAATGGTGGGAGTGTGGGTAAGGTTAAGGGGTATTTTGGGAAAGTCAATGTAAATTTTAACTTTTATTAAACTCCGTGCCCGGTCAAAGCGGGAACTTTAAATGTGGACAGAGGGAGTATCTATTTTCTTAAATGAAAAAATTAGAAAATAAAATTATTTATTATATAATGAATAAAATTAGATTAAATGTATGATATATTATGTTAAACAATGTTTTCATGTCATTTATAGTAAAATTTGACATCATTAAAAAATTGGAACACTATATAAGAATTAAATGAGCAGAATGACTTGATTGAACAAAAATAAATATTTTACTATAAATATTAGGTACAGTGACTAATTTAAATATTTTTAGATAGTACAGACACTTCTATGTATTTTGTCCAAAAGTTTCCTCACCTTGTCTAGTTGGAAGAGAGAAAGGAAATGCATGTAAATTTTGTCCAAAGTTTTTATTACTATATGCCTAAGAGCAAGAGGAAACAAAAAAAAAGAACATATTTCCCTCCCCTTCCATCCCCTCCCTTCCAACCAAATATGCCCTTAGTGTCTCAACCCTTCAAATCCATTTATATAAAAAAAACATTATACTAATAAGAATCATTTTTCCCCTTTGTTGAAATGATTCTAGTGCACTGTCATGGCGTTTGAAATTCTACCCCCGGAAACTACAAACGTTCTTCAACCAATTCAATGCATCTGTATAAAACGAATGCAAGAGGGTTTAGGGAACATATCATATCGGATGCCAGTTGATCGTTATCGGTCTGGTTCTCCGCCGTGATTCCGGTGACTAATGAGCGAAGGGGCAAGAACCATTCACCGAGTGCCTTTCGTAGTTTCTCCTTGGAGAGCACACCGGTGTGGTTCGTGTTCCCTGTTTCATGAAACACAACGAGGGCAACTATTGGTTCCTCTTTCATTCAAAAAAATAAAAAGATTGATTTAATATAACCACAATTCAATGACATAGCTGCAGAAAATATACTTGGACATATGAGATCCGCCCCGAGGCATAGCTCAAGAGGAGAGAATAAAAGAGTTTAAAAGGACAGAAATTCCATTAATTAATTAATTAATTATTTTTCTTTTTGTTGCTTGTGTCAGCTCACTATAATGAAAACTTTCTTACCAGATGACTCTGAAATCAGTGCAAATCTGTAGAGATTGAGTGCTGCTAGAACCTGCATGTCAATACAGGAACAGAAATGGGACAATTCAGTGTTAAACAACTTTCTAGTTCATGTTTGTTTGGATATATAGGAATATTCAAGAAGTCATACATCACAACTTATTACTGAATATTTAAAAATCCTTGATATAATATCATAACACAAAGTTCACCAAAACAAAAACATGAAATATTTAGTTTTCATGTAGGTGAATTTTATACACCCAAATTTTGATTCCAATTTACTTTAGACACCATACATAAATATATATATATATATACGGACTGATGCACCAATGAATCTCTAGAAACTAATATTTGGTTTGGATAATCAAGCTCACTTGAAAAGCACAGCATGTAAATTGTTTCAGTTACATTAGCACCATTAGATGTTTTTTTAAAAGGAAACTAATTAAAAGCTCCATAGCAAACAGCACATAAGCCAGCCACACAATTCTACGAAACCAAAATGTTAGCTGTGCTAGGACCATATGTGCTACCATTGTCAATATAGGAGAGAAATTAAAGTGGATATTCCACAAATTACGCACACACTTACTGCATCAGTGTACTCAGGAAGGCATGGAGGGCCTCCCGTTGGGGGTTTCAAAACCAACTCCACTAAGTCAAGAATGCCATCATCCCAAAATATTGGGTGTTTTGAAGCATTAGCTTTAGATTTCAACCCTATTTTGTCCATTGAGGTTCTTTTACTGTGTTCTGCAAGCATTTCCCTTCTTACAAGATCTAAAAGAATTCCAATCTGCACAAATGATGTATATTTAGTACAGTTCTAAACAGTAATAATTTAAATCCAAAGCTCAATTGAAACGCAAACAAATCAATGCACTTTCAGTGAAACTCTTGTAAATGTCAAATGACATACCATGGAAGAAGAGTTGCTACTCTTTACCAAAGCTTTTAAGATATCAAACCTTAGAGAACTTGGGATGTGAGCAAGCACCTGTTGTGTAAGGCAACCAAACCAGCTTTAAGATATGCAAACATAATTTCAATTTTGTACACTGATAGTAAAAAAAAGTAGGGCTTTTCAAAATAGGGAATAAAGAACTAAAGTAAATATAGGGGAAAAGAATGAGGGTGCTGCAAGTTCATAGGTCAATGACATCGTGATATGCTCACAATCTCACAACTCTGCATGCTTAGGAAAAGAGCGCACTACCTTTATGTGAAATGTACAAATCTACTAATGTGATTAAGAAATTTCTAACCAAATTTTACACGAGGATTGGCAAGTCCAATGTATTCCTCAATCATAAAAGGATTCAAAATTTCTAGATGAAGAGCTTTAGGGTAAATAACTAAATTTACACCTTACAAGCCTAGATTAGTTACAGAGCAACACAATGTTTCACAGGCAGAAATTTTTTAAGTTCAAAAGCGGCAGAATATGAGATGTATATAGGAATGTCATCTCTATATATTTTAAAAGAAAACATCACTAGGAATATTCTCTTGGGGATTTGAGGGGGTGGGGGTGGTTCTCATTTCTAATGAAAACAAGAATATAACCCCACCCCCACACCAAGAAGTAAACATTGCAAACCGCTTTTATGGAAATAGGATATAGCTTCATATTTCTAAGAACACAAAATATGACCTTGTTGAATGCATCATAAGCACTCTTCCGTATAACCGCGCTTGGTGCATGCATAATTACCAATTGAATTGCCTGACAATGCATTTCATATTTTAGGGAATAACTAAGAGAAAATAAGTAGAGAGCATAAGAAACAGATTACCGACAATCCAGCATGAAGAGAGGTTATATATGAGAAGCAATCAAGTTGTTCATTGTGTGCTTTATTACATTGACATTCATCCATAATGCTATGTAAGAAATCAAGAGCATGTGTCCTCAAATCCCACGAAAGTGGAGCACATGAAAAGACATGCTTTAGCATGCCCACTGTTTGCCATCTCTTAGTTGGGTTATTTTGAAGTTCTTTTTTTACTGCAGCTACATCTTCTGCAGCAGCCACAGCTGCCTCGTCAAACTTGTAACCCCAAATTACTGTACCATTATCTCAGTAGAAAAAGATATAATGAGTCTTCAAACGTCAACTATCAGATACATAAATAACTGGCAATGTGTTCATAAAACCTGCCAGTGATGCACCATGTTTCACATGAGTACATTGAGTTAAATCATCTTCTCCGACATCTGCACAATGCTCAAGAGGATTTAGTGGATAAATGAACAATGATACAATTTCTAATCAAGCCATGCACTTTCAGTCTAAATGCATTGTTTAGCTTCTCTAACATTCAATCAATAGGACAGATGGCCTATTACTCACCTTGAACCATCATGTTTGAGATCCTATCAACATCAAAACCAGTAACTAGGCCAATATATGAAAAACCACATGAGTGAAGGAAGTGTGATAAATGGATCACAATGGGCAAAAAGTGTGATGTCCTAGCCCTCGAAGCTATTGAAACAAGTGCCTGCACATCAAAATGATTTTGTTACGAAAAACATAAGCAAAAGAAGGAAATTATAGGGCAATAACCAAATCCTCCAAACCAATAAAAAATGAATAGATGGAACTTATTTTGTAATTTTATTGAGCAGCAATTACCATCAGCTGCAAGATGAAAAGACCAAAAAAGGCCTGCAACTTTTTCTTATCTGTCGGTTCCTATCAAAAATAAAAATTGAATTGGGTATAAAGCACAGCTTAACATTATATAATGGCAGGTTAGATTGCTAGAAGTGTCACTGACCAACTTTTCACAGACAGCCTGAATGGAATTTGCAATGTCAATTGCTTTGAAAAACAAAGTGCCATAATCAGCATCGGGATCTTCATCATCCATCTCCAATGTCGCATGTTTTAAAATGCGAAGAATGACGGGAACTGCAGATTTTACTAGCTGGAATTGCCGTCGCTGGATGCGCAATAGAACTGAAGCAAGAAAGAAAGCAATGAAGACTCAAATCAAATGGTTAAAAAGGTGCTTTTTGCAAGTGGAGCATGAAAATGAGAGCTTTTCTCTTTCAAAAAAAGAAAGAAAAATAAAATGAGAGCTTAAGCATATGTACTTGCACTTGATGCCTGAACACAAAGAAGAATAAACAAACAAATAAATAGAAAGACACTGTAACGATCTAAATACACTAAAATATCTTCAATTACATGGAAAGCATGCAGAGATACCCCTATTTCTGTTGATCATCTCAACATTAATAAAAGCATGGGCGCTCATTCACTCATGTAGTCACGTTAATGATACGTACTCCTTGAAAGTTTACTTCTAATGAAATGAAAATAGAATATGAAAGTACTGGAAAGTGGAAACCCAAAAATGAAATAAGCGGAGTCTGACTGTATAAATGACCTACGAACTGAGCATGACATAAACTAGAGACTTTTCACTTCGTTTGTTTGTTTCACGATAAAGCATATGCAGCCGGTCTGCAAGTTAACAAACAATGAATGATAAAATATATGTTCATACATTTACATTTTGCAACCCCACTTAACAGAGGTACAAAATAAACAGGAGTCCTTGAAGAATGAACTCATTTCGGGAAGCCTAAAATGAAATAAGCAGTCTAACTGTATAAGTGACCTGAGACTTAGCATGACATAACCTAGAGATATTCTCAACTCTTTATCCTGTTTTATGTATAAAGCATATGCAGCTCATCCGTGAGATACCAAACTACAAATAATCACACATTTTCATGCATTTACCTTTTGCAATCCCACTTAGAAGAGGTGCACAATAGAGAGTAGTCCTGAACTGCTCGTCTGGAGAACTTAATGCCTAACAAATAGAAAGAAAAGAAATAACAAAATGCATATAAGTCTAAGCCTAACTACTACTCAGTGACAAGTTAAATCTCATACATCACAAAGAATTGAAAGCATCTCGCGCGGACTACACTTCTCAAGCAAATTGTCAATAAAACATTCCGCAAGATCGGAACACATCTTCCATGCGCAAGCAACTCTACACACTGATTTCGGCAACTCAAATGACAGTGTTTCCACAACTTCCTGGAACAACCAAAACAACAGAACAATCTTCACATATACCACTTGGCTTTTTTTGGGAATAATTTATACGCATTTGATTGATTTAGTACAATACCTGGCTAAGAGAAGGCGAGCTCGTGAATCTATGAATTTCCGTAAGAATTCTGAAGGCTTTTCTCTCAGCGTCTTCATCGTCAGCTTCACGCGCGGTAGAATCAGAAGCAGAGTTTAGAAAATCGACTAGCTCCGACACTGATCGGTCGGATCCGCTGTAGTCTCCGGCTTCAATCGACTGCAGCTTCTACAAATGAGCAATAGGACCCAATTGCACGCACAAATACAGGTAATGAATAGTTCGCTTAGGGTTACCCGAGAGCATGAGGCAAGAAGCTGATGAAGGCGGAGAATGGCGGAATCCGAAGAGCAAGAAGGCGGCGTATCTTCAGCCATCCTCTTCCAATCGAGTCCAAGCCCTTCCAAGAACAGAAAAGCTTCGCGGGAAATAACAATATTTGTCATCAGCTTTTTTACTTTCAATTTGACATGATCAATATTTTATACTTATTTCGTCTTTAAATATTTACCACGTTTTAAAAAATTAAGTAAAATATTAAATTTTTCCAATTTATTTTATTTAAATATTGGGAAAGAAATTAATAATAAAATTTATTTAAATATTACAGGAAAAACTCTTCAAAATAAGAAGTGTCAATAATATTTTATTTTACAAATAATCAATGAAAAAGTACAAATAAACAAAAGCTTCTGTGACTGTTGAAAAATCAAATGTGGTAAATATTTAGAGACGGGAGGAGTATTATCTTGCTGGTTATTTTAAATTAATAAAAAGATTTTAAATCACATTTTTCACTTATTCGCCTAGTTTAATGTGTTTTATAGGTTATATACTCTCTCCGTCCCCCAAAGATTTTCTCGTTTTAACTTTTTGTAGTTTTTAAGAAGAGTTGAAAAAAGGTAAAAGTTTGCCATAATATCCTTAATGCAAATGGGTGAAGTGTATTAAATGAGGTATATGAGGTGTAATAAATAAAGTAAGTGATGGTAGTTGTGGTATTTTAATTGAAGAAATCACCCCAAATATGACTAAAACATAGAGAAAAGTACCAAAATAGAACTTTCATGTTTTTTTCCCGAAATAGGACTTTGCACTGTGATAATGACTGTGCACTGTTGTAATGTGGCAGCATACATGTGCAAATTATTATACTTTTTTGGTAATGTATATGACCATGTATGGTAATGTAAGTCATATTTCGGGAATAAAAACATAGAAGTCCTATTTTGGTATATTTTCAATGTTTTAGTCCTACTTAGGTTTTTCTCCATTTTAATTGTTAAAAAAAGTAATGAGAAGATCTATGGTGGACAAATAAAAAAGGCTAATGAGAAGATCTATGGGGGACGGAGGCAGTAACATTTTAGACTAAATTTTAGTTGATTAAAAACAGAAAAACGAATAGGTGAAAAAAATTAATTGTAGCATATTACTAGTATATTACTTCGTGTACAATTATTACTCTTCACTAAATTTTTAAAAATAAAAATAATTTTTTAGATATGAATTATTTATGTTTACTTTTTGGTAAATAATAAATATTTTTTTAAAATAGTTTAAAATTTCATAAAATAAATACATTATACAAATATGGCCCTGTGTATTAGAAGTTTTTTTCAATACAGAAGCCCATATATAGTATTCCCTCCACTTTCAACTTGTTTAAAATCCAATTAAATCCAATTTCTAGAACACTAGATAAAGATAGGTTAGGTTCTTTGAGATTTAGGAGCTGTTTGGCAACTTCTGAATTAGTAAGTGCTGAACCAGTAAGAGGTCTGAACCATTAAGTGCTGAATCAGTAAGAGGCCTAAACCATTAAGAGCTAGTATATTGCTTAACTATTCAGAGGCAAATGTCTGATCAATTCAGATAAGAGGTCTTAACCATTTAGACTCTGTATAATACTTAACCATTCAGAGGCAAATCTCTTAACCATTCAGACATCTGAACCATTAAAAGGTTGAAGCAAACAGTCTGAACCATTAAGTGCTGAACCATTCATTAAGAGGCTGAAACAAACAGCCCCTTAGGCTTGTGGGCATCTACCAAGCATCCTCTTCTTTACAACTCAATTGCAGTGCAGGTTTTTCCTTTACATTCTCTTTTCTTTCCCTTTTATGAATGTGGTTCTTCTTTCTTCCTCCTTTCTCTTTTATTTTTTTAATATTTTTTTAAACTTAACTTGAAAATTAATTATTTTTTAAAAGAAGTCACATTTATGGACGAATAAAGTTTCAGGGCTGCCTCCAAAAGAGTTTGTGTTGCTTCCACAAGCACATCTACAAAGAGAGTTTTGGCTTCGTCAAAAGAAGAAAAAGAAATCATCATGATTATATAAAAGTAGTAGAATAATATGTGAAAAATAGTACTACATCTGTATGAGAAATTAAAGACGGAGAAGAGTGAATGTCAATAGTGTTTGAAAATTAAGAAAAGAATATGAACAAAGTGTGAGAGAAGAAGTTGGATTGATAAATTTAGGATTGGGTCTGGACAACTGGATTGAGCAATAAGATACTTGGGTTGAACCGCATTAAAAGATTAAATCCAATCGAATATTTAATTTAACTCAAGAGCTTATATACCGGATTATTTTACTCTTGAACTTTCGATGTGGGATGCACTTTAACACTCCCCTTCAAGTGGACAACCAGGCCATTTTGAATCTAACCGGTTGACCACTTGCAAATGAACTCTCATTTCCTTGATTTTTTTGAGCCGCTGGGTATGGACTTCTAGATGAGCAATCGTGTTAAACGGGCCACAGGCCGTTGAGTACATACTCCATACGGACAACTAGACTAAAGACAAACGGGCAATTAGGAATGAACGTCTAGACGGACACCATGACTGACGAGGTGGGCCAAAACCTGCTCCGATACCATCATAAATTTAGGATTGAGTGTGGACAACTGGATTGGGTAATAGGACACTTGGGTTGAACCGCATTAAAAGATTAAATCCAATCAATTAGCTAGTTTAACTCAAAAGCTTATATACCGGATTATTTTACTCTTGAACTTTCGATGTGGGATGCACTTTAACATGGATTAGGAGGGTTTAAATTGAATGGAATATATATGGAAGAAGCTAATTTTTTTTCTAAATATGGCTGTTTAACCCCCAAAAAATAGAAATGGTCGAAACTCCAATTAAAACATCCATGATACTTTACAACCCCGCTAGGTCAGAATCTTCAACCCCTTTAATTTCATTCTCAACCATTTATTGGCTTTGGAGTCAAAATATCTTTTTTATTTTCAGCTCCATCAACTCACAAAAAAATTATTTTCATACTCTTTCCGTACCACAAAATCCTTCTCCTTTCCTTTTTCATTCGTCTCAAAAAACTCTTCCATTTCTCTATTAAAAAGTCATTTTTACCCCTACTAATTTTTAATCTATATATCACATCACACTTTTTATCTATTAATCTACTATCACATCTTATTTTACTCATCACATCAAATAACATTTTTGAAAAGTCAATACCAAAATACACTCCTCTTAAATTCTTTAAAAATTAAAATGAGAAATTTTTTTAGAGACGGAGGGTGTATTATTTTATGTATTAATTAAGTTATACTACCTCCGTCCCATTTTATAATGCCTGTTTCGGTTTACGATGTTTGACTGAAATTATTTTCAAACCATTTTATATGACAAATGGTATAGAATTAAAAAATAAAAATTACATATTAAAAAACTACATTAAAAGATCTACAAAACTAGTAGTGATAATAATATTTTATTTTATCAAATTGCTAATGAAAATAGAGAAAGAAAGTGAATAAAGTTTGACTCTGTGAATAATAAACAGCACCAAATTTGTTTCTCCTCGCGTGTCATTTGTATTTTGACTCTTCTTGCGAGTCATTGCCGAGGCATGGTAAGGTTAGTTTTTCTTTTCTTTTTTCTTTTTTCTTTATTCTTTTTTTGACTTAAGAAAGAAATTTGCAAGGGGTACGGATGAAGGTGTCGGTGGATTTATCCACTATGTTTAGATTGACTTGAACGTGTTTGATGATGCGATGCTATAACTGATGACGATTCCTCTCCATTTGTACATGTAATACCCATCATAAGATATTCACTACAAAGTTTAATTTGCATGCAATGCAATTTTTTTGATAATGTTCTAATAGTCTTTTCATGAAACGACACACCAAATATTTTTGCATCCATCTTTCCTAATTTTTTGACAATTCACTTAAAAAATTGAATTACAAATACTTTTATAGAACAGAAAAGTAAATGGTATTTTTGATAATTTACTACAACATTTTCCCGCCAAAATGATACAACAAAAAAATGTGGAAATGACACTCGAGTTCTATTTCTAAACGGCACAACAATTTTATCCGATAAGTCATTACAATTTTTTAAATTTAGGCAAAATTCACATGAATACTCTGAGAAATTTCAGGTTTTACCCTAAATACTCCTAAATTTCAGGTTTTACATAAATACTCCTCGGGTGCGTCTTTTTAAACGGGGTTCTTCATCCTTTTTTATTTAATTCAAATTAAATTAATATGAATAGACTTGATATTAAACATTAAAAAGATTTAGTAAGTTTGAAATCTAATTTTTTTAAAGTGATGAAAATAAGGGCAATGATTAGGCTTACTAAGACGTGAGAAAGTCGATGGAGAGAATAATTTGAAGTGAATTTGTTATATTAGAGTGAAAAAAATACATGTCTGCATTTTAACTACTCACTTAACGCAAAAAAACGCATCCAAGTAACACTAATGTTCACTACCAAAATTGGGACCAATGATGTAAATAAAAGAAAAATGTGGGAGTAATGATATAAATAAACAAATTTGGGAGTATTTATATAAAATTTGTAATTTTTGGGAGTATTCTTGTCAATTTTGCCTTAAATTTAACTTTATTTTTAATTAAATTAATGGAATTATATCATATTTTATCATGTTAGTTAAATATTTTCACTTCATATTATGTTAAAACTAATTATAGAGAACTAAAATGTCAAAGAAATATTCGAATTTAATGGCAATGCATTCTAGATTTCTAGTGGTCACACTAATGATTTGGTTAAACTACCATCTTAAAATATATAAACTTACTTTTCAAATTAAAACTTAATACGGTGGGGTTCTAGTGCCACTGGAGTACGGTGCCACTCCGGTGCCACTGGCATTTTAGGACACCTTCAGTGCTCCGTTCGCAAAATTGACGGTTCCTACCCCCCTAACCCACTCTCTAAACCCCCCACCCTACCCCCGCCCCTGCACCCCCACCCCAACCCCGCCGTAAGCCCCCTACAAAATGTGTGGCTATTATGAACGCATAATAGCCACACATTTTGTGGGGGCTTAAGGCGGGGTTGGGGTGGGGGTGCAGGGGCGGGGGTAGGGTGGGGGGTTTAGGGTGTGGGTTAGGGGTAGAAACCGTCAATTTTGCGAACAGAGCACCGGAGGTGTCCCAAAATGCCAGTGACACCATACTCCAGTGGCACTAGAACCCCACCTAACTTAATAAGACAAAAATTATAATTAGATCCCCCTAATTTCATCCTAGCATCTCTATAAGTATTCATAATATAGATGACATTGAGTTGTCAAAAAATTACCCATAATCAAGTATTCAAGTCACATATCAAAATTCTGTAAGTTCATCTCTCAATTTATATATAAAGATTTAGATGGTAGGTTTGGGATAAAATGGAACAAAAAAACGAGTAAGTTCATCTCTCAATTCATATATATGAAGAGTGTGTCGAATAATGAACAGCAAAATTTATCTCCATCAAGTAAGTATAAATATGAGTAATACTGCATATAGTTCGTATGAGATTCTATGAACTTTGTTTTTGTCATTTTTTTTATCTGGTTTATTCAAATGAAATGATGAAGCGCATATGATGGGCTAGGCACTTGGAGTATTGTAATGGATGTCAACACTTCTCCAGAACCGGCACCTCAAAGGGTTTCATATGAATGAATGGTAAGACTTCTTATTTCTTACTTTCTTGATTTCTCACTTACCATGGGGAGTGGAAATTCTTGTACTTTGCTGGGTTGTTTTTTCATCGCAATCATGAAGCTTTTAGGTTGTGATGCACATAAGGTGTTTGTTAAAAATACCGTGAGAAAAGCTCTGAGCAGACCGGTACTGTTTCTTGCTAAAACTTCCATCTAAACTTACCCAACTAGAGTAAAACTTTGACTGAGAGGTTCCCAAGCTTGTCTGGTTTGAAGGATTGGTAGAGACATTCGTCTGCTTTAATTGAAATGATCCAAGAAAAAATCATTTCTGTCAGCCCTTCTGAAATTTGTGTACTATATTTTTATTTGTTCCTTAATCATATGCGAGCATGTATTTTATTAGGAATTCTTGTCTAGTGCATTGTACCCCCTCCCTCCCTAATTGATCATTCTTCTTTTCTTTTTTGTTCACCCCAAATAATCTTCACTTTACTTTTAAGGAGAAGAATATGTGGCTAAAAAAGTTTCTCTTTTCTCATCAATTTCCAATTACTTCATTTTTACTTTCAACACTTTTCTTAAAAACCCTGAAAAAAGAAGATTATTTTTGGGTTGGAGGGAGTATATTTTAACTCAAATATTTGCTTGTTTTTGCAAAACCTTCCTGGTTTCCCCTATAATTTTGAAATATGCCATTCCAGTTGACATTTCCCCATTGTACTTTTCCCCATTTTGCTCTTCCATGCAAAACGGGGAAATTCACATGCAGCAAGAAGTAATCTTCTAGTATTATAACATTGACATTGGTTATACTCGCCCCCCCATATTTGTTGTCGGGGGCCAGTACGGATATCTGTTTATTTGATACCTCAAACATTATGCCAATACGAATATGCAATTTAGCTATTAACTTCTAACTTCAATGAATGGGAGAAGCACGGTGAAATACTCTGAAGTTCTAAACTTAAATACAGAGTATTGTAATTGATTTCCGTGCTATTTATGTGTATGGACTTAGTTCCACTTCATAGTATGTAAAGCTACGATATCTTTTGTGGGAAGTATTTTCTTGCTTCTAAATTGTATCTTCTTTTTATTTGTTTAAAAACTTAAATTTGATGGTTTCACTTTATTGAGGAGTAATAAAAAATGTTTGACTGAGTATTAAAATCAGATAGAAGTATGGATATATAAGATAGATTTGGTGAACAATTTGAATGTATTTCATACCTGTATTTGTTTTGAATAATGTTATACGAAGTAATTATCTACTTAGTACTACAAAGTGCTGTTATAGTACTTGACCTATTTCTATGTTAAAAAATGATATGGATTATCTTTTCCAAAGACAAGACCTTATGGTAATTTTTCTTGTACCTTTAACCTGTTTCTTATCATTTTGATCTCTCCACCAGGGCATTCCCATTAGAAAGAAAGAGGCACTATACTTCTGTAGCACCAGAAAGCGAAGATGGTAAACAAGTCCTGGAAAATTATTCCCCGGCCTCTCATGGAGGCTGTCCTCAGCAACCATGCCCAGCAGCACCGCGTCCCTCAGCCCCTCATTCTCCATGGGCCTCGTGGAGTCGGCAAAACCACTCTCATCCTTGAACGTGATAATCCCAAGAAACCCCTTCTGCTCAGCTGCTGCTTTTGTTGCTATTCATTCATCGTCTCTGACTTCCCCTTTATTTCATTTCAGGTCTTTTCAACAAATGGAACAGTGACCCTCATGTCACAGGCTATGTGGACTTCGCCAAACACATAAGAGATCACCACCCAGCACATGGCCAATCTTTCCCATGGGATTCTTGGTCTAACTGCCTGCCTCCATCGCTGCCTGAACTCCGGGCCCAACTAGAGAGTTGCCTTGAATTATTGGCTTTGAAAGGCATTAAGCTCTGCACAATAAGCTCTCACCAGATATTCACAACTCTTAACAAGTGGCACGGACTCACTGCAGCTCTTAAGCAGATCTTGAGTGCTGATGACCAGTCAAATCCCAGAATGCGTGTGTCCACTAGGCTTCCATCAGCATTGAATTTGTGGGAAAGGGCGGTATTGGTGGCATCTTCTCGACTAAATGCTGAGGAGATTGGCGGATTAGATGGGGTGGAGGAGGAGGGGTCATATAACAGGGAGTCATTAGCAGCTTTGAAGCTGGCCAAGGTAGTAATGAGGCTGCAACAGAAGTGGAGAAGTAATGCAGTTAAGCATTTAAATCAGACTGGTGGGTTTTCAAGGTCCTTGGCGAATTCTGCTACCGACTGGCCATGTTTGCTGCTTGAACTCTTGTCTTCAGCAGCTGAAGTTGGCTATTTTCAGGTAAGCATATTTCAACTATTTACCCCCTTCGTCCTGCAAAAAGGTTCCACCNTCAGCATTGAATTTGTGGGAAAGGGCGGTATTGGTGGCATCTTCTCGACTAAATGCTGAGGAGATTGGCGGATTAGATGGGGTGGAGGAGGAGGGGTCATATAACAGGGAGTCATTAGCAGCTTTGAAGCTGGCCAAGGTAGTAATGAGGCTGCAACAGAAGTGGAGAAGTAATGCAGTTAAGCATTTAAATCAGACTGGTGGGTTTTCAAGGTCCTTGGCGAATTCTGCTACCGACTGGCCATGTTTGCTGCTTGAACTCTTGTCTTCAGCAGCTGAAGTTGGCTATTTTCAGGTAAGCATATTTCAACTATTTACCCCCTTCGTCCTGCAAAAAGGTTCCACCATTGACTGGACATTAATGAATGTAATATTGTGTGGTTGAGTTTTGTACAAAGGAGATAGAAAGTGTGCGAACCACATAATTTCTTCATCAAAAGCAAAGAATAACCTTTTCATGGGACAAAAAAAGGAAATGTGAAACCTTTTTATGGGAGGAGGGAGTATATGATTGCAATTCAATGGCGCTTATTATACTTGTTCCGGTGTTGTTCTTCAATCATAATTGCCTTTTTTGAATTCTGTAGCCAAAGTTGGTTATAAATAACATTGAAATTCTAAAGAATGCTGTACTAGTAGATGATTCTTCGGTCTGTGCATCCATGTATCATGATAGCTTGATATGGAGAATAATAGCCTTGGGTGCGAATGAGAGATGTCTCCCGATTGTTCTTGTCACATCAGATAGGTAATACTAAGTTGATTTTTTTGGTGGCTTACTTAAACACTACAAGCTTTAGTTAAAGTTAAATAAATAGATAAGTGAGCATTTAGCAGCCATTTAGCACCAATCTTTATAGGGCTAAAAACTGATATATTTGTTCAGTGGGCATAATATTTCAGAAATGTGTAGAACTCTTTTTTAATTTTTTTATTTTTAAATAATCCAAAAGTTCTCTTTCATCCCCCCGGAAAGAGTAGCCACAAGCAATTAAATAGAAAGAATGAAACAATGAAGCATGATAGTGCTGTGTGATTGGTAGGGAATACTCCGTATAATTTTGAATGGGCTGGTACATGCTTCATGCCTTTTTGGAACACAATTGTTTTTTACTCAAATAAAATCTTGTTGATACACTGATACTTTTTTTCTGTCTATGATTTTAGCATTTAGGTTTATTTGAGCCCTTTTTATGTGACTGTATTCTTGTTGCTTTCTTTTACGCCCAGTTGAAACTATGCTGACTCCCTACATACTTTTTGCAGCTATTACTCGTATCGTGCTTATATGGACTTTGGTTTTCCCGACATTTTCATCTCTCGCGAGGTAATTTTCCTAGCTTATCCTTCCTGGAACCATGAAGATTTGTTAAGCATGAATTGCATTTACGTATACAGACACGTGATTGCACCATTTGCACGTTTTGTTTCTGTGAATCACTTTATTGGAGTAAGTTGGAATTACTAGGGATCTGAAGTGATTGCTGAGAGAGCCAAACTAAATCTCACCTTTCCAAAAAATGCTTCAATGTCTTACTTTATTGTTTTTTCCTTCAATAGTTAGCCCTATCTTTGTAAAAGCACAAGGGTCCCTAATGCTTTCTAAACACAATAATATGAATCTTTGAAGTGACTTTAGCACTTGTACTAGTATTGTGCATTCTACTAGATTGGCTTTTTCCCAAACTTTTTAAATGTATTTTCACGAGATTATCAGTCCGTTGGCATCCCATTAAATCTTGTTAATCTACTATAAAATTATATTACATGAAAGTGTGCAAGGAATCAAGCAGCTGGTGATTTTATTAAGATATTATTTAATCTTTGGCACAGCATCGCAGGCAAAGTGCTAGCAAGTAGCAACTATCTACAGTTCTACACAGTACACCCATACTGACACATACATAATAGATTTCACATGCAGGGTGTTCAAGGTGTGCATAACTCTGCACTAACACGCATCAAATGCCGTATTACAATCCAAGATATCTCTCTCAACGTTTCATTAAAAAAATTTATTCACTAAGAATTCAAGCATATTAGTTGTATTTAATGTGTTCTGTACATTAAGGTGTATTATATACTTGTTGTCTGCCTGAGCTGGGGGTCTCTTTGGAAACAGCCTCTCTACTTTTGTATAGGGGTAAGGTCTACGTACACCCACCCTCTCCAGACCCTACTTTTGTGCGATCCTATTGGGTTTTTGTTGTTGTTGTTGTTGTGATTGTTGTATATACTAGTTGTGAGTAGATCACAGCCACAAGATTCAAGTTTGAATTAAGAGATGATATGTCTAACCATTTTGACTCTCTACATATCTCTTTAACATCCATCAAGCCTGAACTTATATTTTGTTATTAGTAATAATATTAGTATTTTAGTTAAGTCCTGAGAATATGGCAGGATCTGATTTGGCCATTAATATGGGTGATTTAGGCATTAATATGGGAGATATAGTTTCCTTATATTAGCACCCTTCTTATGTATATATATAGTCATTTTGTAATATGTAATTACGCATTATGAGGAAAACCTCTGATTATCAGTCACATGGTATCAGAGCCAGTGTGCTCTAGGGTTAGGGTTCATTATTTGTAAAAAAAGGGGGGGGGGCATCTGCCATTTTGACGCTGTCTCTAAGGGTGCTCGCCTGACGTCACCGCCACCGTGGGTGGAGTCGCACGTTGCAGGAGAACAATTCTGGAGAATCTCTCCTTCGTTGGAGACCTCACGTCAGATCCACTGTAAAAAATCACTGTCAGGGTCGCCTGAGTCATCTAAGCACCTGTGCAGACTCAGTTTGGACATTCAGTGGGTGATTTTTGCTCTGTCTTCCTCTGCCGATCAGGTTTTGTTCAAATTTTAGTCCATTGAAATGGGTGATAAGTCTAGTGTCATCACTGAAGTTTTTCCAGTCATGTCAAAAATCACAGAGAGGAAACTTAATTCCTCTAATTATCTGGAATGGGTTACGACTATTAAACTATATCTCCGAAGTACTGACAAGGACGATCATACGACTGATGATCCTCCTAAGGATGCTACTACTAAGAAAGTGTGGTTGAGGGATGATGCTCGACTATTCCTCCAAATCCGGAACTCAATTGATGGGGATGTGCTTGGGTTAGTTGGCCATTGTGAAACAGTTAAAGACTTGATGGAATATTTGGAATTTCTATATTCAGGTAAGGGAAATCTTACTCGTATCTATGACGTATGTAAGGCTTTCTATCGGGCAGACCAGCAGGATCAATCTCTTCAAGCAT